ACACTATGTTTCTTTATACTCTCATGCTAACTTCATCCTTTATTCTCAATCAAGAAGGTATATATAGTAATTTAGTTTATGCAAGACTAATTAAGTTATTTGAAGCTACTGGCAATGATTCCAAACTAAGTGATGATTAGGTTTAACTTTCAATGGAGGAGGTAAGACGATTAAAAATTATTGACAATTAGTTGATCTGATAAACAGATAAACTTTGTCTTCTAACTACACTATCCAAAAGTTATTGCTACCGCTAATTCAACTTATTAGCGACCATGCCTTACACCATTCATTCCAGTATTCACAGATGTGTTGAAGATGAACCTGATGCTTATCTGATGTCTAAAAAACTGCACTGAGAGGTGACAGTCAGTAGACGTTGAACTGGCATTACCAAACGTTGCACGCTAAAAAATTTCATCATTGAACTTCAACGGTCATGATTTATTTTTACGTGAACAAACTGCCGTCAGTTGCGGTGTGCACGTTGTTCACAGTATCTTCACACTCGCACACACGAAATGCAGCAATTTTTGTGTGATATTTGAGTGTTTCATCACTTACGTCATGACGAAGCAGATTGAGATTCATGCGATCAATTCCAACTACTTAACTCACCTGATTTCCCAGCGCTGTATTCTTTTTATTTGCCAGCAGAATCGGTTGATATTCAGTTTCACGTTGGTTGAGTGGGCTAATGGGAATATGAAACTACCGTTTACGATACTCACCAGTAAGACATACTTACAGACTTCTGGAAGTCAGTATTGATTTAGGAACTTCAAACTGCACCAGTCATGGTTCCAGTTAGACAAACAGGAAACGATTTATTCTAACGGAAACTTATCGTCCGTCAAAAAAAAATGTATTGCACTGATTTATTAATCCACGTGTTTTCATTGACGCACCGAAAAATTGACCAGAAGAACTTGACCAGTACCACTGACTTAAAAGTATCAGAAATGATCTACGTTATCACCACTGCTAGTTGGTAGATAACGTCTACGTCAAAGAACTCAGAACTTTCTGTTACCCCCTAGATATACTCAGATTAAAACCCCATTCTCTAGCTTTTTTCGTTGTTCTGGAGAAGACTTTCATAACTCGTGGTATAAGAAATGATAGATCCTGTCATTCGAGACTTGAATTCCTAAACAGTCAAAAATCAACAGCATTGTTCTTGAAATAATTGCTTGCAATACATCATGAAAGAGGTCAACAAGAGGGAGGACAATCGTCAGACGAGAAGAAAAAAAAAAGCAGTAATAAGGACACGTAGAATTCAAAGTATTTTGATAAATACACGGGATTTGAATGCTTTTGAACTTCTGAGAGATTTATAACCGGCAGTCTTCAACTGTCGACTTAATTCGTCTGGTAAACCTAAATCAGGAATTTCGCACCTCCCTAAATTCACTATACCAACGGCTACTCTTTCCAACTCTAGGATTTTTGCACAAATCACTTCTGTTCCAAGCCAATTTGAACGTAAAGAAAGCTGGTGGATTGCAGTGCGTAACACTTGGAACAAACACAAAAATCCAACCGAAGTTTACTACCAAATCACCTGTCTTACTCAAGACTCATCACTTAGGCGTTTATGTATCTTGTCACAAGTGGGGTAATCGGTTAAAAGTTGGTCAGGTCTATTCTATCCATGCTACGATTTCGTCAGTTGTCACAATCAATGCCTAACTTACTGATAAACCATCATCAAATCCACTCTTGTGATCAGCAACTATTGATTTTTATTGGTGTATAGACTTTAGGATCATAAATTATTTCTTGTCAGTGCTGATGATGAGAATTATAGTGTCAACTATTAATAAGTTTTTCTTTTCAGTGTGTCGCTTACAATCACAGTGTGTGTTTCTCTATTCAAATGACAGAATTGTTTTTAATTTTGTATTCATTGGCCTGTCTTTTACTCTCGTTTTATTTCTCTTCTTGTAAGTTTTCGATGAGTAAGTTATTACAACAGGTAACGTTATTTTCTCGGGGTGAATCATGGACACTGTACACGCTGTAACATGTAAAGCATACATACCTTAAGGACAAAGAAGAGGTATACATGACAAACTGACTTGATAACTGATTTACTAATAAGTGAATAGATATAATTGATTCTTTCAACGGAACGTTATATTTCTAACATGTATTAAGTAGACGGAGGATTCGACTGACAAGTCAAGTTTTTCCTTTTCTCTTCCGTACCGTAGTTCTCCATTTGCCAAGATGTTCTGTGATATTAGATCTATACATTCTTTTGCCAGTAAACTAAACATTTAACGGTTCAGATTTTCCCTCAATCACAAACTCACACCTGTTCTACAAATCAGAGTAACTTATTATGATTTTTTTACCCGGCAGAACCGGAATTAGTATTGTGAGCGCTGCTATGATCAGGATATGCAAACAAGAACGAACACTGATTGAAACTAATAGAAAAAGTGAATCTCAATCTGATTTCAAACGCATACAAATACAGTTATTGTATAGCCTGGTATTACTGCATAACACTCCAAATTGCCAGAGTCACATCATCACATCTAGATAAAGCGTACCGAAAAGCGACGATAACGAAACAAAGGTAACATAGTGAAAGGTAGTCGAAATAGTCTGCAGGATGTGACTGTCTTCTGTTCAATATTAAAGTTATTATCCAGACTAAAACAAAGGGGATTTCCATTTCAACACCATGGTATCTTGTAAAATGCTAATAAATAATCTATTCAGACTGTTCTGAATCGATAACTTTTGTCACTATTAGGTCACAACTTACCTAGTATCAACAAGCCATCAGCACTTACCCAGCAACCACTTATATGTTAGTGTGAGCTTGTGGAGCAAGGGGGGAGGAAGTTAAGCAACTTGGCTGTTCCAACCTCCTTAGATGGATTTTTTTAAAAACTCATGGGTGATCTGAGTCTAACGTGATGAATCACAATTTCACGTACAAGTAAAAAACGCTAGTAAATACACTCAATTCTATCCATGTAATCATGTTAGACTGGTTAGATTTTATTCATCTTTTGAATGTAGTGAAGTAGTAGGCGAAGGAGTTATACATCGTACCACTGAAAAGTGTGACTAGTCGCGTACGCACACATAAATATACCACAGGCGTTGATTTGCAGATTTTCGCTAAGTAACAGTGATCAAAACACTGTACTATACGTGAACAACACATTTACATGGTTTAACTAAGAACATATCAACACGTTTCTTGCAAACAAGAAACTTGGTGGTGAATGCAGTACTGTTCGCACATGAAGTAAGAAGTGATTATGGAGAACTAACTATGATGGACTGCAAAATCCAACAAATGCAAGACGGATGTCTAGATGTAATTTTCTACAAAAAGACTTCACACTCCACTTGACACTTACATTTCAGACCATTCTATCTTATATCAGTTCAAGTAAGGTTGGATAACTGTTTCATCAACAGGACATAAAAACAAACTAATAAGTCTGGAATCGATGTTAAGAAACGGTGCAAAATAGAAGTCTTATTCATCGACAATTAACCCTATGAGGTTAGTTTGGAAACTTTGGAATCAATCAGAAAACTCTGGTAATAATACAGTTAACGGTACAAACGAAAACAGTAATAATGATAATTATAAGACCAATTTAAGGCCTTTATGGAGTTGTCGTATCAAGGCGGAACATCATAAATTGTATGCTAGATTCATGATAATACTAATGCTACTATTATTAATAGTAGTGATAAACATTTCTGGTTAAAAAATTCTACTGAAGCTATTAAATATGGCAGTTTGATTGATCAAAATATCATATAATTGCTACCAGGTCAAATACACAGGTCGAACTAACGACTAGGGTGAGTTACGGTGGCCGAGTACAAAAACAGACATAAATATGGAATGGTACACCCTAATACTATAAGAAATCTAGTGAAGGTTCCAGACATAAGAATGTATGCTGATGCACACAATCATCCAATAGGATGGAATAGTGACAAACTCAAGAAATAACTCAGCTGGGTGCATAGAAAGAGATAATGACTGAAGCTTTATTTATCCAGCCGGTTGCTGACAAGTGTAAGTCAAATGACGCAACATAAATCCCAAATGTCTGGGAAAATTTTCAACCAATAAAAATAGGAAAACACCAGAAATGTGCAATTAAAGCAGAATGGTGCTTGAGATTTGTTTGATATGATGATGAGGCAGCAATTCTGCTGAAACGTCATCCGGTAAACAAAGCTATTTCACTGTGTGATACATATAATGAAAGCGCCAAGATGAAATTAAACTGCATTGCTTTCCCGCTGACCTGGGAGTTAAGCTAATTACTGTTTTAAGGGGAGGAGTTCTGTCCAACATGACAGTGCAATAATTCAGAGAAGTGGATTGGAGTACTATAATTCGGATAAAACCTTCAAGTTAGTATGGATCATATCCAGCTACTTTTATTATTCAGTAATGAATTTCGCTGATTCACTGGGAACTTTTGTGTTAGAGGTCATAACTATGATCCTTTTGAAGCAACATGGTGAAACTTGAAGGTCCTGGGTTTGATCACTGATAGAGTTACGGGTGTGCACTGGTAAGGGGTCACATAATTTGGTGAAACACCTAAGTGATTGAAAAACTAATCAGCTTTGAGAAATTTCAACATGGACTGTGATATTCGTAACTGATGTGAAAACAAATGCATCTCAGTTTTCACATATTTTAATTTGTTCATCATGACATCCTGGTATGGTCTTTTAAGTAACATGTAACTTAAGGCCAAAGTATCAGACTTTGGACAATATACATAAAGAATTCTCCAGTATCAGGTAAAGTTCAAGTGAAGAGATCTTCATTGGAAGAGATAAGTGTCAACCAGTTTGACTTCCATAATCTATTTGACAAAACCTACTGATTTCTGTTTTTTTTATCCCTAACTGGTCACTTCCTAGTACTCCTTAAATAACGTAGTGGTATATGCATGAATCAAACTAAATAGAACAGAAAAGGTTTGACTCACTTTAGGAATGGAACGTTTCTGTGTGATTGGACTAATCAAATATTCTGCTTCACTATTTATGGATGAACAAATTCCAGGTGTTGATTTATGACATACTTTGTAATTCATTTCTGAATGGGAAACAATTGTATCTGTATTATGCTGAATTGAGATTTCACTTTGTGCATGAGTTGATTCTGTTTCAGCAATAACCATTAGAGATTTTGTTAAATTCTTTAATACCATCCAGGAACATATTAAACAGATGCATTTAATGATAACAATAACACCCTGGACTAAGAAAAACCATCGATACTTAAATGTTTGTGCGATGAAGGCAGAGAGAATCGGTGATAGTGCCATACCAATACCCATTCCACCTAATGAGAAAGGATAAGCTAAATGACCTGGCAGTAGAGTCATTTCTTCGCCAGCTGGAAACAAAAACGTTACTGATGGTCCAAGGCAGAATCCGGTTGCATAGGATAGAAATGAACTCATTACACGACTATAGGCTAAAAATTCCCATGTTATCAAACCGAACGCCATACCAATACTTGTTCCAATTAAAATATATTTCAGACGATTTCTCAAGAAATCCTTCGTTATCCCAGTTAATGAAGCTCCAATTAAATAGGTTGTTGCTTCACCTGCCGCAAATAAATTTGTCAACAGTACACTGTTCTGCAGTGAAGATTCATGTCGATACATGTAGTCGGCAAGATTCAGCAGCATACCGTAGGTGACAATACTTGTGATAATTCGATCTACTGTCCAAAGTATCAGCAGTATCCTTTGTTGCCAACACATATTCAGCCGATTGCGTCCATCCATCTTGGTACTTTGATGATCTGATTTTGTAGGATCTTTATGAAATATAAATGCACCCAATAACAATACGAAAAAGTACAATACACCGAGAACAATAAATGCTGACCGCCATCCATGATAATCAATTAACACTGCGTACAACTCGACAAATAATATGGAAGCTACAGACCCACCAGACACTAATGTAGTCGCCAGAATATGATAACGGTGATTTTTATCGAAATGTTCATTTACAACTAGACCAGATGTACTCAGTACAAGCGATGAACCAATGCCATGAAATAATGTATGCGTTAAAAATAACCAATGTGGACTTGGTACAAATGCACTAGTTAAACACGCTAAGAGAACAAAACATGCTCCGAAAAATTGTGACAATCCATACCATCGACCAGTTCCCAGTATGATGGACGTAGTTAGCGTTGTGCTTAGATACCCCACCGCAGCATATGAATCACCAATCCAGTTTAATTCAGCCAAAGTTGTTTCATTGAATTCTGAGTGTAGTTTAGCGACAAATATTCCAAATGCTCTTCGTTTCCCACCTAAGAAGATCACACTCAAAGCAGCAGTAATTAAAATGAACCATGGATAGATTCTACGCATAGTGTAGTTTGATCTGAACTTGTAGAAAATGAAATATTAGTTTGGTTGGTAATGCCAATATTCCTCTTTCGACTTTCAAATAATACTATTCTATTATCTAAATAAGCTGATTCAATGGCGAAAAACAACTAACTAGTAATGAATCATTAAAAAAAGACCAATCAAACCAATCCGCCAATGAGAAAGTAATAATAGACTAGTGAATTCACTGCTGTGATTAGTTCTAATGGCACCAAGTGACCATGAAGTGAACATGTGTAGAAATAAGGTTTCGATTTGCTGAGAAAGAAAAAAAAGAAAGTGAAAGCAATTTGATGCGAAATAGTTACACATTATTTACAAGTTAATTTTGACAACTATTCGTCTATTAATGTAACCAATTTCATGTTGCCTAGTTCTAAAGGTTGACCGACTATGTAACTTTTCAGGTTGATTTCTGGCCCGTATTCATCGTTGACTGACACGACCTAGAGAACCATTTAAAATCTTGGAACACTGGATGGCTTTTTGGTCCTAGTATGGGACTCTCCAGCAATGAGCACTTATTACCCCACCAGGGACGGAACGTAGAACCTTCAGGTTTCGCGGATAGCACATTGCCGTTGAGCCAGTCGGTTTAAATTCGATGGTTCATGATATCTTGTCTGTGTCAGTTCAAGATATAATGCAACCTCAATTCAGTGTCATCTCTGAGTAACTGTCTTTACGTCCAACTTGGTTAACCCCACCAGTCACCAGCCCTCATTAGAATTTCAGGAAATCTCATCCCAAAGCAAGTCACTAATAGGGACTGAGGATTTGTGGGGTTTTATTTAGCAGCCTTAAAGGTGCCTTGCTGACTGTGGAACCTGAAATTCCTGGGTCCAGTCCCTGGTTGGGCCATGAGTGTGCGCTACTGAGGAGTCCCATGTATGGACGAAACGGCTGATCAGCGCTCCCAGTTTTCAAATGGTTCTCCAAACGATGTCAATCCATAATGGATTCCAACCTGAAACTAATTAAAAAATCCCCATAAACCCCCATTTCGATGCACAGGAAATGTTGATATACATTCCAATTGGCTCTTTCTACAACGACCTTTGTACATTTTAGTTTCCCTGCCATCCTTTCGGTCACATAACGTCATACAATATTTGAACAGCAGACTGAATGAGTTAGTCAAAGAATTAAGTGTTGGTTTTCAAGCTGTCTGTTAGTTTTGGATATCTGATTTTATTTGGTACAGCAAATACTTTTTGTTGTTCAATATCTCCTTATTTTAACCAATTTTTCTCGTAGTTTGCAGTGACACTTGTTCAATAACAGTTTTTAGTTAAGGCCTTGGTGTATTAGATTACTAAAACCTCCTTAACCTCCAGTTAGGTAATATTTCACCATTCCAATGAGAGAGACAGAAGGTAGACTTCAAGAGTGTGGCAACAGGATGCCTTGTACAATACGAGTCTCGCCTGCTGAAAATCATTACCATTCTATATACACTGCTCTTCTAAGATTTATAAGTATCTAGTCTCAGAATATACATAAGAATTTAAGATAGCTGCGAAAAGCAGTTTCAGATTGTGTTGTGTATCTTCTTCAAACTAGAAAGACGAGAGCGTCAGTATTTCTCCACTGAATACAGTGAACGATAGAATTTGCTAATTTATACACACCGAAGACATTACTTTCACATTTTGAGAAATCGTAATTGCCGGTTAATAGTTTCAACACTTTCACCCATTTCATATTTCATATGCAAGTGGTAACTTTAGATAGCACTGTGGTTGTTTGAAATAGCCTGTTGAACTTGGAATTTCAATCCGGTTATATTTGAAAGTTTCGATTGACAAACTGATATACATACTCATATACAATAATCATGAGTGGACTGCACAGGTGATCTGGGTTGCCAATGGGTTCAAACGATGACATCACTAGTTGGAAGCCTTTCACCAACCAGGCTTTCTTTCCACTTCATCTATCATTCCTATGTTTTGAACATTTAATAGATTGTGTTGGGAAAGAATAACCATTGTCTTAGAAACTGTGTTGTTTACGATATAGAATTATGGATGAAATAATCTGCACATAATACTAATTTAAACTTGCACTTCAGAATGTTGTAAGAAGAACAAGGAATGCAACTGTAATACATCTGCTCCAAGCAGTACCAGGGGAAAACAGCTCCTACTCGCAATCCCCACAATCTCAATTGAACAATATCGAATACCTCTATTTACAGTAACATAGACTCAGTTGCACTTAAGAGATAAACAACATGATTATAATATTAGCCATAGTAGTATAGAACAACAAAAACACTACTCATTACTTGATCAGACACCACATGTGCATGTGTCAACTATCTGTCTGAATATTCCCGAATCATTACAAAAACACAGTTGCCGAGCATGTCTGTCCCAATTGATGCACTCACAAAAATATGAGAGCAAGAGAGAAAGAATAGACAAGTAGTCAAATCTTGTTTGAGTAAGCTTCAGTACAAGACTAGGCATGTGAAATACAATTAGAAGGCTCTGTTAAGAAGTAATTAGGAGAACATTTTCAATGGTGATACTTCAGCTGATACTGTTTTTAGTCAGTGTAATCACAGATAAGCTTCCACATTTGGCGACCTGTACACCATATCTCCTTCGATTCAGCAAAGTAATATATTTATTGTTATACCCCGACGTTAACTCAGTGCACGTATAGAACAGCATGCTGAAGCACAGCTTTTAAGGTGTGAAAGGCGAATGGCATTCTAGAGTACTGAATCGAATCTGATCACTCGGCTAATTTGCACATACATTTTGAGGTTACTTGTCAAAATTGTTTGAAACTTTCAGGATGCGTTAGTATTCACAGCTGAATAGTAATACTAATACTAATACTAATAATAATAATAGTAACAATAATAACAATAATAATAATAATGATAATAGAGGGATAACGTCTGTATACAAACAAGTGAGTGATATCGGTCTTTGTCTTCGGCAGTTTAGAGAAAAAATGTTTAACCTGATTGACAATTGTCGTCTTCTTATATGGATTCATGAGGTAATGGGTTTGAAAAACCATCAGTTCACAAGATTCCTGATTTTCTGGTTTCCAGTTTATGGCCAATGCAATCCTGGTGGGGTTGAATGCTTCCACGAGCCTTGTAGTAATAATGAGAGGGATTGAATGTCTCGGTCGTATCAATGACACTAATTACTCAACGCTGAAATGACATCTCCTCATATATTAATATTACTACAGCACATAAACTACCAATCCAAAGTTGAATATAATCATGAAATGATTAAGACACACAATCCGGACCTTCACGATATTAACCTTCACACTTATGTATATTGATCAGTTTAGTCTTGAGTGCTGGCCAAATCACATCCCACAGTTTCTCGATGTCGCCTCCAGGCCAGGAGAATCGTGATTGTGGTGCACTCATTTCTTGAGTGATTGTGTGTGAGAAGCAGAAAACCATACCTAATATAGATTGGCACGAGTCTGCAGGATGTAGTTGCAACCCATAGGTGACTGATGCCATCTCACAAATTAGAACTCGTGTCAAACAGTGCTTCAGTTGAAGATCGAATCACCAGACTGTTAGAAACGACTCACCGACTTAGAATGCATGATGCTTTGAATTTCGATGATTGGAGTCTATTTACGAAAATGTTTCAGTGCATACAGAAGGCAGATATTCACTCATCACTTTTGCAGTGCACTGTTCTAAACTGATTGATGAAGTTTTGTTATTCCAAACAATGAATTGTGGGTTTGAGCCCAGTGTGGACGCCAAGATAACAGACTACATGCATATGCAGTTGAAAAGTCACAATTGATGGAACATGTCTACTGGGTTCCACTGTTAGCCAGCATAAAGCAAATACAATAGTTAACCAATATTTTTGAAAAACGTACCAACGTCAGCACTTACACTACTTCTAAGTAGGCAAACTATTTGCGAGTGAAAAAGTAAAATTGACTGTAGAGCAGAGGCAGCACCGACTGTGAAAAAGAAATGATAAAGACTGGTTTGACACTAATACATTTATATCAGCTGGAACTTTAACTTGGTGGTAGACATAGGTCTGCGGGTACTCGCATGGTCAATTCACGTGCAGAGGTAAGCCAGATGTTTCGAAATTCAGCATGGAAGGACTTTATAACAGCAGATAAAATTGTAGTCTTACCTTTGTTGGGAAGAAATAATTGGCTCCTTAACATCCTTTACACTAACCTGGATTGGAAATCTGTTATTTGAAGGTCCGATGATGATTATTTCATCATGATCCCATCCTTGTATGAAAGTAACTGATTTACTGGGCCAATGTTCACAGTAATCCAGTCTTCATGATGTTCGCATACATACACGTGCATTATTAAGTTGACGAGCAATGCATCTTTCAATAGTCACTCAGTTGGACATTGCGATACCGACCAATCTCTGCCACTCTGCTCTGACTCAGTGGTTGGGCTTGCATATCACAATAACTTAATGAGCTATACCGGCGAGGACATTTACTCCATCAGGTCGTAACATACCAGGAAGGTGAGTTTCATATCGGTAGGAAAAAACGTAGTTATCATTGTAATGTAAATAGCTGCAATATGACGGGGGTCGAAAGTGAAGCCATACTGTTGGCTAGATGGGGGTGTGACATCAGTGAGGTGTTTCTCAGGGATAGACATCAGTCCATGTTGATACTGACTTCCCAACAGGAAGGTGGAAATTGGAAATGATCCTCTTTCGGTGATGGCAGTATGGTTCACTCACCTAGATTCAACATGGGCAAACTTAATTTTCAACTTTCAAAACTACCATGTGCTACCAGTTTCAAGTGGATGCTCTACGAACTGTGTTGTCATGCAAAGCTTATCTGTTTTCTCTCTCAATAACCTTGCAAAAACAACTTGCATGAGTAATCCCGACAGAACAGTTGCCCACCTGCTTTCAGTAGCACGAAAACCCTACTAACCATAACATGTGACCAATATCATTGGACTTCTTACAG